GAAGAAATGTAAACCTTCTGGGAAAGCCACACATCTTTTACACTGACAGTAACCTTTTCATTGAAACACAAAATGAGCAATTTAAAGAAACAATGAAGGCCTTTCACCCTAGATATATTCTTTCTGACAGGTTTACATGTGACAGTTCACTAGCAGCTGCAGCTTGTGAAGAAACAAGGAAAATAAGAAGAAGAACTAAAATAATCAACTCTGAAATTAGCAGAAGTTGGTAGAAGTAATTTGATGATGGTTACAATCTCTTGGAGATTTATATGTTCATATTTAGAATTTAGATTTTTTTTATCTTGGATAAAACCACAGAATTTTTTGTCTAAGCTGCTGGAATACCATCCAAGAATGTCAAAAAAGAATGACACAGAGGTCTTTGCCACTATTTTTGACAATGAAATCAACATGGAAAAAATTGAAAGGTTCCCAGATGTGATACCCCTCAATTTTTGAGACATGCATTACATTATATAATCCTTCTACAGAAAGAAGCAATGGCAGCACTGTACTAAAAGTTAAAATCGGAAAGCCTTTCTGCACTCATCATTAGTGTTCCCGTTTTCCAGTGACACTAAATGGAACTCTTGGGAACTCCATATCTAAACTGACATTTTAGTATCATATATGTGGTGAGATGGGGACGGTAAAAACAAACCCCCAAAATCCTTTTTTTGGACATTTTAAAAATCTGGCTTGCTCTAGTTAGTATTCCTGTTCTTTGTTACTAACATGAAGACAAAGATAAGTCTAGAACTCTTGCATATGATTCATCCCAAATACAAGGTTGTAAGTTCAGCTTGAAATGAGAAAGGGAGGTTGAGATAAATTAGCTGGAACATCATTCTGAGCTTCTTCCTTCTCTTGACGGTTCAAAAGAACATTTGCAATTAAAGATCCAGATCTCTGCTGCACTGAAACTAATGAGGTTGCACAATTATCACTGCTGGCATAATTTGTGTTTAGGCTGTTAACGATGTTAACAAAAGTGTTACCTAAGGCCTAATTTAGCCTGCAGAAGCTTTTATTGCTGGTGATAATGTGAAGGTGGAAAGGAACCCAGTTTAGACCTCAGAGCCCAGATAGAATTTTTAGAGCTGGCAGCCAAGAAACATCTTTTTGTTTAGGTATCCAAGTTGTAGCCATATTGGTCTAGAGGCAATCGGGACTCGTGGTAGAGGTGATTATCTTTTATTAGACCAACTAGATTTTTGCAAAATTTAAGACTTTTTTTGCAGAAATCTAGTTGGTCTAATAAAAGATATCACCTCTAGCACAAGTCCTGATCTTTTTGTTTATACGTTGGAAATATGTGGTAGGGAAGCTTCTGAGAGGCAATAAACATGAATCTCCTTAGTGTCATTTTATAAAACCACTTTTCAAAGGAGGACACTAGGGCTTGGTCTACATTCCTTAGTTTTGATAGCAGAACTATGACTGTCTATGCACAATTTGGATAGGAACCAGCATTCTGAGCAAAAGTAGCATTGTGCCACCTTGCAGCACCATGTATGTAAAGATGTATCCGTGCCTTCTGCCAGCTGCTGTGATCCCTTGAGCTGCTGGTGCCTTCCCAGGCTTTATTCCACCAGAACTTCTGACAGTAAAAATAACCTAGTGTAGGCAAACTCAACTGATTTTTCCAGTGAAATGTTGTTGGATGAGTCAAACGTGAAAATATATTTAGGCATAAGTACAACACACAAGATATAAACAATGAAGTATAGAAATACAAGACATCACTTAGGTCAAAAACATAAGAGAACCTTTTGAAGAGTAACACTGTCTAAGGGCAAATGAAAAACAAGAGTTTAAAAAACCACTATGTTCGTTTACTAATATAGTTATACTTGTTCAGAGACTTGGTCGGTATTCAAACTATGAACACATACATTTTTCTTATTTCTAGCGAGTGAAACAACTACATACTTATTGGGCACATCTACATGTTCATAAATGCCCCTTAGATATTGTGCATTTAGTTCAGTACTTTCTTAAAGTACTAACTAAATGCACAGTACGTAAAGTTACTGTGCAGTAGCACCAGTGCACGGTTTAGTGACACTTACTGCATATTAACCTAATACCACTGCACAGTAGGCTATTAGCATGGTTTTTGCTGTGGCACATTACTGCACAGTGTTATTAGGCTAATGAGCAATAAACGCCTTGTGTACATGCACCCAGTGACTTGGTATCATCCAACATACATACTCTAGGTGCGTTTCAATAAATGGCTGTTGAATTGCCTCAAGTACATACACTTTTAATCTTTAACCAATTGGTTTTTTTAAATTTATTTAAGCAGAAAAAAATCTGGAAAATTCCTCAACACTTGGAAATGATTTATTTTCCTTTGGATAATTGACATGCATATGTTTGTATGTGGGGGTGGGGAAGGGCTATGTATAATTAAATTTAAACCAACTAAGAAATATCTCAAAGAACATTTTTTTTCCAGAACTAGCCTCTGAAAACTAGGCATCAGAGTGAGAATACCTCCTGAGCCATAACTATAGCGTAACGATTTCAGTACATACAGTGATGCTCTTCATGCTATTTTGTCCTAATTATGCTGATTTATGAGTCATCACCTAATGAGTTTTCATTTTACCTATGACTGACTGCCCAGCAGGTGGCACACTTTTGATCCAAGTGTCAGATCTTGCTGAAATTAACGCTTTCTGCTTAGATTAGGAAAATAGGTCCCTTAATGCTCTGCAGATAATTTATATCTGATTACCTGAATTATCAGAGAGTATAAGGATTACTTACTGCAGAATAAAAAATATCAAATTAAATGCATTATTCAACCAATTGCATCATGCTGTGCTTCTGACATTACCAGGAAAGATAATATATTTTTTTCTAACAGCTCAATAGAAAATGCCAGCCAGAGAGTGTTCTTTGCTGAAGATGGAAGCTGGGAAAGGAACTATAAAAGATTGTGGATGATGATAACTATTCATTTAGGCACAAATGCACTGAATTTCTTATCAAAATGATTCGTACCTCAAGGTTAGACAAGCATAACAACCTGTGTAGGGCTATATAACATCTAATACTAATTGCAGTGTTGCTTAAGTGCTCGTTTTCCAATGCCAGGGCCTCTATATGCATTTCACGTCCCTTTCACCACACTTCTGTTTCATTCTCTGCCCCATTTGAGGACTCTGTGTCCCACTATTCCCCCATGCTAGGAGACGGGCAGTCCTCTATTTACCTCATTACTACTTCTTGGCCGACTTGTATCTAGAGTGTTGTTTTTGTAAGTCAAGCTTGTTGCACACACCAGGAACTATGGATATCCATCCACTTCTCCCTATGAACTTCTCCCCTGCTCCTGCTGAGGGACATATGTCATAATTTAAAACACTCTCTCTTCTTTTTCCCCAAGTGATCAGTCATCCAGGGTTGTCAACACTGTAGCCAGGGAAATACAGGTTTCTCTCACTCTATGCTGTATATGTGTTTCTAAAAAAGGGCGTATAACTCGAATTTGCATAAAGGGAACCCACTTGACCATGTAACAAATAGGAATACATTTCGAGACTGTGACTGTAGTGACCCCCAGACCCATTTCTACCACTTTTACAAGTCAATTTTGGTATTTGCCAATGGCAGGCAGTACGCACAAGCACAGGGCACTATCATAATGGGAATGGCAACTACAGAAACACGTATTGCAGACGAGTGAGGAGTACAGATCCACAGAGCTGACTATATTTTGGTGCACGTCAGTCCCACAATGCATCACACAAAGAAGCTGACTGTGGGCTTCCATCACACCGATCGGATAAGAGTGAATTTACTTTGCATATAATGAATTTTTGGTATGAAAAGGGTCATTGTATAAGAGCGAATTCGCACATACAGAATCCTCATAAAGCAAGGGAAGCCTGTAATATCAAGAAGAATTTAGTGTCTTACTTTGTTAAACCACTAAATAATCCAGTGGATTTTAAGTTGCATACAGCATTAATAATTTCTTTTTGAATGTTCAAGGGGAACCTTGAAAAGTCAGCATGCTCCTGTATGGCAGCAAAAAATTGGTTACAGTAAACAGACTAATCTTTTGCATCATTAATCATTAAAGAAAATGGGGAAATTCATTCCAGTTGTTCTACTGATAGTTAATTTCCTTAATGAGACCCTAGTATTCTTAAGTGGTTGGTTGGTTTAGCAATGGAAAGTATCTGAGATCATGTGACACGGGGACACCCCAGTGTAACAGTATGCAAAATTTACCAATTTAGCTTGTGCTTCTTTATTTAATATTTCTAGTTGGTGAAGATATGTGGAATTTTTTCTGTCCCTGCAAGAATAGCAATCGTTACCAGCTTTGTTAAATAAAGTTTGGGGTCAGGAGCTATGAGATGATTTATCTCTTAAATTCTACTCGTATATATTAAATGTAAGCAGGTTAAAAAAGTTAATGTATTTTAAATTCAGAGTGGATGAAACTTAAAAAGTTCATATGTGCCTTTGCCTTTTCCTGATCCTGGGAAAAGCCAGGAGCCAGTTTTGCCTTTGACAAAGTAACGTCAACACGACTGCAACTTATGCTGACTTCCACTGGTCTCTAGACTCCTGGCAGATGTTAAAACAATGGGTAATGGACATAATAGAACCATAGAAAGCTAGGTTTGGAAGAGACCTCAGGAGGTCATCTAGTTCAACCCCCTGCTCAAAGCAGGACCATCCCCAACTAGATTACCTCAGCCAAAGCTTTGTCTAGCTGGTTCTTGGAAACCTCCAAGGATGGAGCTTCCACCACCTCTCTGGGTAACCTGTTCCAGTGTTTTACTACCCTCCTAGTCAGAAAGTTCATCCTAATATCTGACCTAAGCTTCCCTTGCTGCAACTTGAGACAGTTGCTCCTTGTTCTGTCATCTGCCACCACTGAGAATAGTCTAACTCCATCCTCTTTTGAACCCCCCCCTTCAGGTAGTTGAAGGCTGCTATTAAATGCACCCTCAGTCATCTCTTCTGTAGACTGAATAAGTCCAGTTCCCTCAGTTTTTCTTCATAAGTCAAGTTCCCCAGTCCCCTCACCATTTTTGTTGCCCTCTGCTGGACTCTTTCCAATTTATCCATACCCTTTCTGTAGTGAGATGCCAAAAACGGAACACACTGCTCCAGATGTGTCCTCACCAGTGTTGGATAGAGGGGAATAATTGCTTCCTTTGACCTACTGGCAGTACACCTACCAATACAGCCCAGGATGCCATTAGCCTTCTTGGCAACAAGAGTACACTGCTGGTTCACATAAAGCTTATTGTCTACTGTAACCCCCAGGTCCTTTTCTGCAGAGCTGCTGCCCAGCCAGTCAGCCCCCAGCCTGTGCTGGTGCATGGGATTGTTCTGTCCTAAGTGCAGCTCCCTGTTGAACCTTATGCGATTTTTTTGTTTGTTTGTTTGGGGGGGGGGAGGGGCAATCCTCCAATTTGTCTAGGTCGCTTTGAATCTTAGCCCTATCCTCCAGAGTATCCGCTACTCCTCCCTGCTTGGTGTCATCTGCAGACTTGCTGAGGGTGTGCTCTATGCCATCTTCCAGGTTGTTGATGAAGACACGGAGCAAAACCAGCCCCAGGACTGACCCTTGGGGCACTCCACTTGATACCAGCTGCCAACTAGACATTGAGCCATTGATTACTACCCTCTGAGCCTGATGCTCCAGCCAGTTTTCTATGTACTTTACATTCCATTCATCCAGCCCATACTCCTTAACTTGCCTGTGAGAATGTTGTCAAAGACCATATCAAAAGTCTTGCTAAAATCATCCACATCCACAGATCCAGTCATCTCATCGTAGAAGGCAATCAGGTTGGTCAGGCATGACTTGCCCTTGATGAATCCATGCTGACTGTTTCTAATCAGCTTCTTCTCCAGGTGCTTAGAAATAGATTCCTGGAGGATCTGCTCTATGATTTTTCCAAGACTGAGGTGAGACTCACTGTTCTGTAGTTCCCTGGATCCTCCTTTTCCCTTTCTTAAATATGGGTACTATGTTTGCCCTTTTCCAGTCATCAGGGACCTCTTCTGACTGTCATGAGTTTTCAAAGATGATAGCCAGTGACTCTGCAGTCACATCAGCCAACTCCGTCAGCATGCTTCCATGCATCCTGTCTGGCCCTATGGATTTGTACACATCCAGCTTTTCTAAGTAGTCCCTAACCTGTTCTTTCACCACTGAGGGCTGCTCACCTCCTTCCCAAACTGTGCTGCCTGGTGCAGTAGTCTAGGAGCTGTCCTTGCCTGTGAAGAGTTAGGCAAAAAAGGCATTAAATATGTCAGGCTTTTCTGCATCCTCCATCTCAAGGTTGCCTCCCCCATTCAGTAAGGTACCCAAACTTTCCCTGGTCTTCCTTTTGCTACCAACATACTTGTAGAAACCCTTCTTGCTACCCTTCACCTCCCTTGCTAGCTGCAACTCCAGTTGCGCTTTGGCTTTCCTGACTTCATCCCCGCATGCCCAAGCAATGCTCTTATATTCTTCCTTGGTTATTTGTCTAAGTTTCCATTTCTTATAAAATTCTTTTTTGTGATTTAATGCATGGCAAGACATGTGACTCTTGAGATCAGGGAGTCCTATTATTTTAATGGAAATCTTGCAACCCAGTTGGGGTTAGCAAAGGTTGTGTCCAGGGGACCTGAGGGGCTCCCCCTGCTGGGGAGTTTAACCTTCCCTTGTGCCTGGTAGCTAGGATTGCCAACTCTGACTGAAGCTATTCCAACAGATTTTTTTTTCCCAACATGATGTAATGTCATTAATGGGGTGCACCAATAAAGATTTTTTGGGGCTGATACAGATGTTCAGTGGGGTGGGGGGGCACATCGAGGTTCCCACAGTGAGGGAGGGGGTGGGACTGGAGCAGGGGGCAAGGGCAGGCACTGCATAGCTGAGGTGGAGCGCAGGATGGAGCTGCTAGTGGGTTGACTGGGCAGCCTATACCGCTACACACACCCTGGGAGGGCACAGGGGTGCATGAGACCTTGGATCTATGCGTGGGGTGAGGGTGGGCTGCCAGTGCAGGCTGGGGCCAGGGTGACATAGAGTTCTTTCTGGCAGGCGGATGGGCAGCTGCACTTGTGGCGGATGGTGGCAGCACTGGGAGGGAGGTTGTGGGGGGGCTGCACCACCCCAAAAGTTGCTGTAGCCCCCCTTCCAGCGCTGCTGTCACCCACCGTGAGTGCAGCCTCAGCTCAACCCATTTCCTTCCCCCTGGAAGACCTTGGCACTGCCCCCAGGCCCAGTCCACACCAGAATTGCCCTTGCCCCATGCGCAGATCCAGGGGCACACCCCCCCATGGCTCCCCGAAGGTGCATGCTGCAGTGGGAGCTGCCACTCTCTCCCCGCACCCCCTGGATGAGCTGCTCACGGCTCTGTCCTGTGCGCCTCCCCAGCTGGGCATCACCTGACCAGTCACAGCGCCACTCCCTCCCTCACTGCTGGGGCCTCAATTTGCTCCCCCCCACACCCCTTCCCTCACAACAGAGTTACCAGCCAGACCCAGCTGCTCGCCATGCTGCCAGGCTGTGCTCTTGACTGCCTGCATTCTGCACTGTGGCTGCGTGCATACATGGGGCATTTATCAGTGACATTATTGGCCACATCAGCCAAAAAAAAGCCGATTGTCAATTTTCCTTATATCAGTGCTGATCTGATATGGGACCAATGTAGCAGTGTACCTCTAGTCGTTAATTGTACTGTTCAACCCCTTCACAATATCACTGTCCTGGATTGCTTTCAGTAGTCACTAGGAGATGGATGCAGATTCCGGTAGACTCATGGCCAATCCAGGAAGGTTAGTAACCCTACTGGCAGCCCTGCCAGGCACAGACAAGCTCCCTTGGGAGCTATAAGGCAAAGAGTGTCGAAGTGCTGGGTTGCAGTGAGCCATGCAGTTCACCGTGACCCTGCATGTTGCTTGCCTAATCTGAGCATGCATGTGCAGAGCAAGGCATGTTGAAATTTCAGGTCATGGTGAGACCTGTCACCCTGCACCACCTGATGGTTTCTTCATTTACACCAAAAATCATGTGGTGCAGCCCCATGCTCCACCTGTCTCTTGGCCTTGTACATGAACCAAGACAAGGGGCTTTTACCCTCATGTTGGGCTTGTCTTTTATTCAACTAAATACAGTAACAGATTAATCATGTCATAAGCGTAATGCGGCTAGTAAAGTGACGAAAATGCTGGCTTGCATCCATAGATGCTTCTCAAGCAAATCCCAGGACGTCATTCTCCTCTTGTACTCGGCCTTGGTGAGGCCGCAGCTGGAGTACTGCATCCAGTTTTGGGCTCCACAATTCTAAAAGGATGTGGAGAACCTTGAGAGAGTCCAGAGAAGAGCCATGTGCATGATCAGAGGTCAGGAACTCAAACCTTACGGCAACAGGCTGAGAGGTATGGATCTCTTTAGCCTGGAAGAGCGCAGGCTCAGGGGTGATCTGATGGCCACCTATAAGTTTATCAGGGGTGACCACCAGTATCTGGGGGAACGTTTGTTCACCAGAGCGCCCCAAGGGATGACGAGGTCGAATGGTCATAAACTACTACAAGACCATTTCAGGCTGAACATAAGGAAGAATTTCTTCACTGTCTGAGGCCCCAAGGTCTGGAACAGTCTGCCATCGGAGGTGGCTCAAGCACCTACATTGAATACCTTCAAGTGCAAATTGGATGTGTATCTTGCTGAGATCCTATGACCCCAGCTGACTTCCTGCCCTTTGGGTGGGGAGCTGGACTTGATGGTCTTCCGAGGTCCCTTCCAGCCCAGTTGTCTATGAAATCTATAAAATGTCTGCCAGGGCCCTTAGGGAACCTTATGCCTGAGGAGACTTCTAAAATGCAGCGTGCTCCTCAACCTGCTTCCAGGATCAGGATGTTTGGCCACAGATCCCTCCGCCCCAGCCCCACCAATGCACCTTTATTTGGCTCAAATGGGCCAGCCGAGAATTTAGTCTTCAGTTATTAAAGAACATTTGTTCATCTACTGATGCTTTGGATATTAGTTGGTGGAATATGTTTTGTCACTCAGCACCTTCAAGGTCTAAGGTTCACTAGCCATCTCTGTCCGTGACTGGACAGATACCAGCTAGGGACAGATATTCAAAAAGCCTGAGCCTGAATTGAATCAATCTTGGCAGGTTAGTCTAACCTGGCTAGCTGAACCCATTTGTAAACCTAAAGACATCCCCTCTGGACTGAAGAAATGCAGCCATGTGCCTGCAGTGGCTCAGGCTAGAAGATAAGGGTTGCTAAAACAGCCCTCCCTTCCCTTTGACAGTGCTGAGCTGAGAAGGGGCATGGCCAGACCCCAGCAGGACGCTTTAATTAGGGAGGGTTCCCTGCTGTCCCCCCCCCCCCCCCCACCTT